CCCTCTTTCTTTCCTTCCTTCTTCCTTTCCTTTTCCTTTTCCTTCCCTTTCCCTTTCCCTTTCCTTTCCTTTCTTTCTGATGGAGTTTCAGTCTTATTGCCCAGGCTGCAGTGCAATGGCGTGATCTCGGCTCACTGCAACCTGTGCCTCCCAGGTTCATGTGATTCTCCTGCCTCAGCCTCCCCAGTAGCTGGGATTACAGCTGGCTGCCACCACTCCTGGCTAAATATTTGGATTTTTAGCAGAGGCAGGGTTTCACCATGTTGGCCAGCCTGGTCTCAAACTCCTGGCCTCAATTGATCTGCCCTCCCTGGCCTCCCAAAGTGCTGGGATTACAATAATTTTCACTTTCATGGTGCTTATAATACACTAGATGATGTGACCAAGGGAGAATTGGACCCAGGTCATAGATGACCTAAATATGACCTTAAGATGTTTTAATGTTCTACTATGAACATTTATAAGGAGGAATTAAGTATTGAAGGCTGTGTGTCAGATAGAGTAACCGACTGGCCACTCATATAAAAGTGAACTACTACATTGTGGATGCAGAGAGGCTAACGTTGAGAGACAGTAGTCATCCTGACAAGAAATGAGGAAGGTGAGCACTAAGATAAAGATAAGTAACATGAACAAAGAGAATTAAGATTTTGTAACAGAGTTGTTAGAACTGATGTGATACAATGATGAGGGAAGGAGAGGAATTGAACATGATCTTGAGGACTCTACTCTTGGAGGCTTAAAGGAATGTGTTTTCTGTATTTGTCACAGGGAGCCAGGAAGGAAGAGCCAGTTAGGGTCAAGAGTTAGAACATGTTAAGCTGAATAGGTTTTGAAACTCAGACTTGCCCATAAAGCTGTTAGGAATTGGATTATTTTGTTTGGAAGAGGTCAGAACTAGTCAAGAGATTTCATAGTCCTTGGTAAAAATACGGTGTGAAAACCTTAAAAGGGATGAGTTCATAAATAGAAAATAGAATTAAAAGAAAACATCAGAACTTTACAGAACAGCTTGTTCATAACTTTAGGAGTTGTATTATAGATGGTTCTATAGAAACACAAACTCCTTCATTTAGATTTAACAATAAACAATCAGTTCTTTGTTATGAGAGGAGGAGACCATTCAAACACCATGCTGCTTCTTTTCCTGCTATTTCAAAATGTCTTGGTTTCTTCATAGATGTCTAGAATTCTCATGAGCAGGGAGGTGGATGAATAGAGACTGTTTCTGTTCCCAGAGAGTCGCTTTGGAGGATGCTGAAATTACGGATGAATTGAAGACACAGATTCACCGTAAAGCTGAAACAGCTAAAGTGTCAGGGCCTGCCACTTGCATAGGCCTCTTACAAGACACTACAAGGAATTATAAACATGCTTGTGGGCAAATGTTTTTGCAAATTTGACAAAAGTTAGTTATTTAAACTTTCATTAATTCAGAGTTCTCTCTCTATTCAGATTTCCCCTCCCTTTTCCTTCCCTTCTTATTGGGTAGTTGTGGAAAGGCTACTGGCAATGTTTTGGGGGAAGTTGAAGTAAGAATACATTTAGTTTAGGTTTAGTGGAATATATGTCTACATTTTTTGTAAAACAGCTTTATTGAAGTAAAATTGACCTACAAAAACCTGCATATATTTTTACAACTTGATGAATTTGGACATAGGCATACCCCCATGAAGCTGTCACCACAATTAAGGTAACAGACAAACCCATCAAGTCTAAAAGGTTTTTTTGTGGCCTTTTTTTTTTTTTTTTGGTGGTTGTTGTTGTTTTAAGAAGACTTAACATGAGATATGCCTTCTTAATACATGTTTAAGTGAACAATACAGTGTTATTAACTATAGGCACTATGTTGTACAGCATGTCTCTGGAACTTATTTTGCATAACTAAAACTTTATGCCTATTGAATAGCAACTTTGCATTCCCCCTCTCCATTTCCTGACAGTCACCATTATATTCTCTGCTTCTATGAGGTTGACTATTTTGAATACTTCATGTAAGTGGAGTGTTTGTCCTGGAACTGGCTTATTTCATGTAGCATATTGTTCTCCAGGCTCATTCATTTTGTTGCAGATGGCAGAGTTTCCATCTTTTTTAAGGCTGAATAATATTTTTAGTCATTCTGTATATTGTTGGTATTGCTGGTCACCCGGTTTTTGGCAGAAATGCAGCATATTTTGTTGCATTGTCATGATAATTTGTCTTTTTGCATTTTAATTAACATGGGAACTCATTCCATTCAGAAGACTGAGCCCCAGCGTCATTTTTCCTTTCAGATTCAAAAGTTTATTTTTATGGGGAAATAGACAAAATTTACTATATCACCTTTAATTGGTGCGATTGTTTCTTATACAGAAAATAATAATCGTAGATAACATTTACTAAATGCTTACCACTTTTAGCTACTTTCAACTACATTTTATAAGTGAGGAACTGAGACATAGAGAAGTTAAATAAGTGGCAGATCTGGAATCCAAAGCCAGCACTCAGGTTCCCATTGGTAACTTAAACCACCAGGGAACCCTTACTCTCTGTCACTGAGTTCGAAGCCAGAAGTCCCTGAGTGTAAAATCCTTGGGGTTTTAGACAAAGCAGTTAACTTCTAATGATCCTCAGGCTTCTTATCAGGTAAATGGACAAAGCAGTTAGCTTGTAATGGTCCTCAGGATCCTTATCAGATAAATGAAGGTGAACTAGAATATAATGTTGGTAACTTTGGGGTGATCTCATGACCCTTTGAGAAAGCTGTGATCCCTTTCCATGACATAGAACAGACGTAATTATGTAATTAACAAACATTCTTGGACACCTTGAAACCAGTGTCTTAGCCCTTGGTTAAAATCCCCTGAACTAGAAAAAATTTAAATTTCTTACAAATCTAATATTCTGCTATCTTAAGAAGAGCTGACTTCTAGTTTATTAGTGACTTTTTAAACAGGACACAGTTAACTATTAAGTGATTTTCATGATATGCCTTATTGATGGGTTGGTTTGTGTTGTATTCTTTCTTATGATCTTGCATTTTCTGAATGCTGCTGACATCTTTCGCTTGAAGACTTTTTTTATTGAAAGAAAATTTTTAGATGCATCTGGATTGAACTGCTCTGAAGAAGTTATGGTGTTTACCTGAAGCTAATAAAATAATTTATGTTTTCCTAGTAAATGAGATCTGAAGAACAACCAAAGTGTCAATAGCAAAATCAATTTGACAAGGATCTACTATGAAATTAGGTTTCTCAAATAAAATGTAGTTTAACAAGAGACCATTCACTCTGTCTTCCTTCTTATGGGGATACTTTGCATTAGAATGTAAAACTGATGGCATGTTTTGAAGTCGTAAACTTAGTATGTATCAAACTTCATGGCTTTCAAGATCAAAGGATTAAGTTTCAATTTAAAAGTATGGATTTTTTTGTTATAAAAACAAAGTGTCTTACTAGAAAACAGAACAAGAAACATTTTATGTATTCTTTCTATGTCACCTACGGAAATTGCAAAAGCATCCATTTGAAGTTGTGTAAGATTTAGTATACACAATCAGGAAAGTACTCTGTATAGATTTTTAAAAATGCACTAGCACTCTTCTGCCCTTGAGTCAAAATGCCTAATATTTTGTTTTTTTTCTATGTAAAATTTGGTTGAAAGATTGTTCATTATTGTTGAATTTCAATATGATTGCAAATTAAATGATGCAAAACTCAATAAAGTAAAATACACAAAAGAGCAATTAACATGTTTTCTCAGTAAGTATGTAGAATAATGAGAGAACACACTGTTCCACACTGTAGCATAGAATTAAGATGTAGTCATAAATCAGGAAAATATTATATCTTGTTTAGGTGCACAGGTGGCTTTTAGAAAGATTGATTAACTCCTCTTTCCCCCTTGAGATGTGAGTTCATAGTTATTCCTGCAAAATTAAACAGAATAATTCCTCATACTTCCTACAGTAGGTATGCTTCAATGCAAACAGCATGGCGGAGATAAATGTTTGCAAAGTGTTCATCTCCTTGTCTATTTCTATTCCAGATGCTCTCTACGATGTCATCACTGTGGGAGCCCCAGCTGCCCATTTTCAGGGATTTAAGAATGGTGGTCTTCGGAAACTACTCCATAGATTTGAAACAGAAAGAAGAAAGTAAGTAAAGACAGGAGGAATCACAGATTCCATTAATAACATCTCCCCTTTGGGGAAGTCTATATACAAGGTTAGAAGAAAGAAGATTGGTCCATCACAATGTATAGTTCTTGACATCTTAACCTATTTAGTAACATAGAGTTGTTAAATATCTCAAAACTACCAGAGAAGAAATTAGATTAAACAAATTGCCTAAGTGTCTTGCTTACTGAGTGGCATTGTGATGACAGAAAATTTTCAGGAAGTCATATGACTAAGGGGTGATATTCTAGTGTCAACTATTGCTTGCTCAAAGGAAGTGTTCAGAGATTTAGCTAGAAATATAGTCTAACTTAACTGTGGAGCCAAAGATACTGAATAGAGAATATGGCTCCTAATTTATGGTTTTTACCCTACTAGTAATTTCCATGCTGACCTCAGGCTCATTTAATTGTGCCACTTGAAAGAGACACAACAATACAGAATTCTATGTTCTGTTCCTTAGGGAAAAGGCACGAGTATTACCACTATTATTTGTAATTTTATTATACTCTTTCCCCAGTTTTTGTTTTTAGATGCTTTTAAATATTGCCTTATCAAGCTTTTGCAGCAGTAGTTTATAGTTCTGCCCCATGTCTCATCTGTTGAGCTTATCCTATAATATTCTCTGTCTATGACCACACTCATGTAAAACATAAAGCGCATTATCCAGGTATGAAGAATAACTACTTTCCTTTTCAAATAGTTACTTGTCTTAAGTTAAGAATCTCAATTTTTTTGGTTTTAGATTCCAAGGGTATGTGTGCAGGGTTCCCCCCCCCCCCCCCCCCCCCCCCCCCCCAGTAAATTGCATGTCACAGGGATTTGGTGTACAGGTTATTTTGCCACCCAGGTAATAAGCATAGTATCTAATAGGTAGTTTTTCAATCCTCACCTTCCTCCACCCTCCACCCTTAAGTAGGTCCTGGTGTCTGTTGAAGAATCCAAATTTTGAAAGTTAGGGAAAAATACTCATTCTTCAGTCACAGTTGATTTAGTAATAGTATTAGAAAATCGGTTTGAGTGCCAAAACCAGAAAATTTTTTAAAGTTTTATCACGTTTGTCAAATATAAAATTTGTTTTTTGGTGCCCAGATGTTTAGGAAGAAAGCATTTAAAGGAGGTGAGAGTTGAATAATTGACTTACTATCATATAAATATATAAACTACCAATACACATATGTTTTTCTTTTTTCCTTTTATGGAATTGACTTTGGTACAATATTAACTCTGTTATGGTTCTTACTATGATTTTTCTAGTTTTTTGTTCATTTTTGTTTGTTTGCTTTTGGTGGGTAAAGGTTTATAGTTTTATAAAATTATATTGCATGGGTAGATTAGAGTAACCATCACTATTATAAACATCATATAGAACTGTTTCATCACCACAAAGAAACTCCCTCAGGTTACCCATTAATACTCACCCCTTCTCACAAATATTATTGCAGTTGGGAGTAGAAGTCAAAGTTTCAACCATGGGCTCTCCAGGGGAGAGGCAACTCCTGTTTACTTTATGGGAGTTGGAAGTTAATTCACACCACAGGCTCCATGGGGGAAGGGATGCCATGCCTACTGAAGTGGAGGTATGGGTGGAAGACAGGGTTTTGCCCATGGAATCGAGTGGGGATGGAGGGTGTTTCTCACTGATTCCCTACTGTACCATTCTTCTAGTGGAGAAGGGACATGACATTTTTGTGGTATTCACTTCCAGAACAGGTTGGTATGGCTGGGCCACCCTGTTCCAGGTTCTTTGGCTTTTCCTGGGTGCTATTTTTTGTTGGTTCTTTGCTGCATTGAGAAATTCTGTGGCACCCAGTTTGGGACATTATAGGAGGCAAAAAAAGTCCCATGGAACTCACTGTCATATCATTCCTTAAGTCCCGAGGTCCCTAACTAATATACCTTTTTAGTCTACCTTTTGGAGTCTTTTGATAGGTGACGTATATGTTTTATCTAGAATGTTTCATTGTGATTGACAGGGGAAATAAAATAGATTGCATTTACTCCATCTTGTCTGGAACTATGTCTCAGCCTTGAGAGTTGAGAGTTGACTTAATCTATTTTTTTTTCCTCAATTAAATTTTAAAGTGTGTAACTCAATTAGAAGACTCAAAACTGCCCACAGGGCAGTCAGAATCCAGCTGAGCATATAAAGCATCAGTATGTGAAATATGGAACCTAACCCTATAATTTTATAAAATATATTTCTGTCAAAGACAACTGTTGAGTTCTATGGTTAGACTCTAATATTTCTTAAGGTTTAAATATTTGCATAAATATTTGAATCCTTCACTTTTCTTCACTTTTTACTGGGCTGTTACATATCAACACACACACACAAAAACACACACACACATACACACAGATCTTCAGTTACTTTTAAGATAAAAGTAGAATTGTGTTCAGTGCTTACAAACACTGATTGCTTTAAATGTTTTATTTGTGTTTCATTGCTTTATTGATAAAATACAGTAAAGATTTTAAAAGAAATAAAAAAGAACTTTGTGGATCTTAAAAGAATTCTCCATAGGGCAGTGGTTTGGGACAAATACTGCTTGCTGAGGCAATATACTGTTGAGCATGACTATCAGCCTACCTGTTAAATTAAGAGCTAACTTGAGCCGAGATTTAATGATTACAGAGTTATCGCACCATGCAATACATTTTCTGCAGGCTTTTTCAGCAACAAATATTGCATTTCTCTGTCAACAGCAATGTATAGAAGAATGACTATATGAAATGAGTAATTTGGACTTTAGGTTAAAGTAGACAATGATATTTTGCAGGACATGAAATCACAAGTGAGGAAATTTTTCTTTGCCTTGTCTTTCATTTGATATTGCCCCCAACCAAAAAAAAACAAACAAACAAACAAACAAAAAAACAACCAAAAAAACCGATAGCCAACTCTTTTAGGCCAGATTTTTTTGGGAAAAACCACAGTCATTGTACTATTTCACCTTCACTTATTTTTTTTTCTCATCTAAGCCAATAAAATATTGTCATCTGAGAAAAGATATAATTTATGTTTATGTCCATTGATGATCTCTTTTGTGATTAATACAATGGCCACAAAATGAAAAGGGTTTTAGCATAAGAACATTGCTTATAGTATTTGTATAAAGCAATTCAGGTCATACAACCATATTTATTAAAAGTTATGAGATAATTAGGGAAATTGAACTTTTAAAGCACAGTATCTGAGTACCTTACTCTTGTGCTTAGAAACTTTGAGGAGTCCATGCTTATCCATTGGGCATTCAAAGCACCCATGATTTTCCCACCAATGTCTACCCTCATCACCCACTTCTATTGTTGTTTCTAAAACGCTGTATAAATTATTTCCTAGATGGGCCTCATGTATTTCTATCTTTTCCTTTTTCCTTGTTCTGTTTCCTTTTACAAGAAATTATTCTGTTCTCCTCATTTTCTACTATTTTTCATTTCTTTCTGTGAAAGCCATTTACATAATCCTACTCAAAATTCTACACATGGTCCATGTGAAAATTTCACCCCTGTAATTAGGCTTTCCTGATTTTTCAAGTTGATTTTGCTCTCCTCCCTAATATTTTATTTTTACTTCTCTTGTAGCCTTACTAGGCCAAAGTAATGTATTAAGGTTTTTCTTGTGTGATGTTTCTGTAATACATTATGCTTTCCTTGAATAAGAGATGGAGTGCCTTCTGTATATAAGTATTATGTAGATCAAATACACGAGCATTGGAATTCACATATAAATCAGATATAGTTGCTGACTTAAAAGTGCTAAAAAATTGAATTGGAGAAAAAGTTTCACAAATAATCATAATGCGATAAGATTAATAATATAGAGAGCAGGGGTTACCAACCTTGGCTGCACACTGGAATCACCTTTGGAGCTTTAAAACCTTTTGTTTATAACAGGATATCACCCCAGAAAAATTAAGTCAAAGCCTTTGGTAGTTGGGCCCGGGGATTGATACATTTTAAAAGCTTCCCAGGTGAGCCTAATGTGTAGCCAGGGTTGAGAACTACTGATATAGCTATGAACGAATAGTGCTATCTGAAGACAGATAAAAGGTTTGGAGAATAAAACCAGAAATACCTACACAAATGAGTTGAACTTGAAAAACTATATAGAACTTCAGTTGGTATATATCAAGAGGAAAGGAAATCTAAGTAAAAGAATATTTATTGAGATATAAAGTATTACAACTCACTTACTGGAAATTTTTGTTTGGAGAATCCTAAACTCATTAGAGAGTTGCAAAATGGAACCGAATGTGAGGGTAAAGCTATAAGAATTTTGATCTTGGACAATCTGGGCTTGAGTAACGTTCAGACACACACAATTGAACATATCATAGAGGATTTCATACTGAAAACTTGATATCTTTCTAAGATAACCAAAATTCTAATTACACATTTTTTAATAGACCCAAATCAGGATGTTTGTGACTTATGTATTCTCTTGTAACATCAAACACCTACTTGTACCTAGTGTCAGTTGATTTACTTCAACACCATGTGAAAGTTTGTGGATTTCTCCCTCAAAATATGAATCAAGTGTTTACCTTTAGCATTGTTTAACAGAAAGGAAAATTTATTCCTACAACATATATTTTGCTTTCTTTAAGCTTTTTTTTTTTTTTTTTTTTTTTTTTTTTTTGAGATGGAGTGTTACTCTATCACCTAGGCTGAGTGCATTAGTGCCATCTCCATTCACTGCAACCTCCACCTCCTGGGTTTAAGTGATTCTCCTACGTCAGCCTCCCAAGTAGCTGGGATTACAGATGCACACCACTATGCCCAACTAATTTTTATATTTGTTTGCAGAGATAGGGTTTCAACATCTTGCTCAATCTGGTCTTGAACTCCTGGGCTCAAGGGATCTGCACGCCTTGGCCTTGCAAAGTTTTGGGATTACAGGCATGAGCCACCACACTCAGATTTTTTTTTTCCCTTCCCTTCCCTTCCCTTCCCTTCCCTTCCCTTCCCATCCC